TATTGACAATAATATTGATGATGTGAATTCAGAAATATTGTCAATCTCAATGTATTGACGTCAATAAATCAGGCATAACATTTGATAACGGCACAAAAGCATTTGTAAACAAACTTTCTAAGGCCCTTTACACCGCTTATCCAGATTTCCATGCTTGGTAATGGCGGCCTGTTTGTATGAATAAATGTATCCTTCACTGTGCTTTTTGACACTAACTGGAGGGCGTATGTTGTTTCATTTTCTTCTGTTCCTGGGAGAGGGAAAGGGAGGGGTCAAAATCCGAACCTCCAGATAGCACAGTGAAGGATACATTTATTCATATAAACAGACTGCCATTACCGAGCATGGAAAGCTGGATAGTAGCATAGGGGTAACTCTAAGACCACTGGGTTCCGAAGAAAATCATTATTATTTTTGGCTCACTCAGTACCAGAACAACGGGACCAATAGGCTACTAAAGTGGTGAGCCAATTTAAAATCGTTAGTTTCGTATTGATTGTTGATAGTAGTTTACATTTGACTACGGCAAAAATAGTCACTTACTCGTGAGTATTTTCTACCCAAAGTTCAAATGACTCAAATTTGAGAATATCTCATATACTCACTAGTACGAGCACTAGTAGCTTATTGAACGATAGTCATGAGAAAATCGAATCTCTCGTTCCGTTTTTGAAATTAAAAAAAAAAGTGAGAGGGGGATGCAAAACTAAAAAGAACTTAAATTTAGAGTATTTTTTTTCTCTGTGTATGCTTTTGGCGCTACTGTATATGGACGATCAAATGTAAAATACTGTGGTAGCCACAGCTTAGTTATGTCAAAACCTCAGTATTTTCAATGATCCATTTCTGCTCTAGAAACAGGGTGGCCAGACCTACCGATTTATCGGTAGTCCTACCGATTTTCGGGGTGCCTACCGATTCACAGACGAAAGGTTCAAAACTACCGATTTTTCACTTTTCCTACCGAGAATCACAGATTTTTAGATTATAAATAGAAAAGTTGATTTCGACACGCTTAAACCAGAAGAACTGAAGGACAGTGTATTGTTCTAGAGCACAGAGTCATCCCCCCCCCCCCGCTCACAAAAGTTTCAAGTATAGGGAAAGCCTTCTTAAGTCGACCTACCGATAACTACCGATAAAGTTTTGAGAAGCTACCGATAATGAAAAAAATAATCTGGCCACTCTGTCTAGAAATGTCCAAATTCAAATCAAAACAAAAGCATCAGTTTTGCTAAATATTTTGAAATGCAATATTTGCATTAAAACTTTCACATTCTGTTTTTAAAATGATTTTTTTTTCAACTCAGCTTGAAATATGAGTTTAACATGATTCCAGTTTTGTTTTTGCTGTGCTGTTCATTTTTAATAATCGAGCTGGGATTTTGTCGCATTTTTCTAACAATTCCATCTTTGGAAACATTCTTGATCATTGAATAATAGAGTAATTCCTAAAATTGTTCAAGTAATCGTAGTAATTTTGGTAATCTAGAGTAGTAAAATTAATTTCAAAGTAAAGCCTGGTACGCAGCTGAAAAGTAATGACGTTTTTACGTGCTACGGGATAGGACACGGAATGCTAAAGAAATTACTTTCCTTTAGCATTTCTTGACCCAGTACGCAGTTCAAAAGAAATCGATAAAGGAAAGATCGATTAGTTTCGTGATCGATATGAAGGTGGCGCATTCTGAATGCAATTTCATTTTCCTTGCGGAATAATAATGTTGTAAAAATGATGTTTTGGATGCATTTTAACAACATAAAAATGATAATTGTTGATTTTAAAATTAGACGACACCTATGATCTCAAAATTTAGCAAAAGACACCTCCCTATAGCTGTCAAATTTACTTTTAAGAATATTCCTCAAAAATTACTTTTCCGTTTTCTTTTCAGCTGCGTACCAGGCTTAATAAAGTAATTTTAATTAATTGAGAAGTAATCAGAGTAATTTTCGGTAATCTGACCAAAGCAAAATAACGAGGGGTTTCTACCAACGTTAATTACCGGTCAGTGCCAGTCAGATTACCAAAAATTACTCTGATTACTTTTCAATTAATTAAAATAACTTTATTACTTTGAAATAACTTTTATTACTCTCGATTACCGAAATTACTACGATTATTTGAATAATTTTAGGAATTACTTTGGAATTACTCAATTATTCAATGATTAACAATGTTTCCAAATATGGAATTGTTTTAGAAATACGATGAAATCTAAACTCTATTAATAAAAATGAGCTGCACAGCAAAAAACAAAACTGGAATCATGTTAAACTCATATTTCAAACTGAGTAAAAAACGAGGTTAAAAAAATGTTTCATTGAAAAATCTGAATTTGAAAGTTTTACTGTAAATACTGTATTTCTTCTTCTTTCTTTCTTCTTTCCTTTATTTAACGTCGGTCTCTGTTCTGCAATCTAGTGCCAATCACCGACGGACATCGATTGCCATCCATTGACGGCAATCGAATGTGCAGGAAGGCAGCTTCCACACCTGCGTAGGATATCGCACCCATTCAACACACATGGGCCGGGACCAACGGCTTTACTTCCCTTCCGAAGGAATACGTGACCAGAGACTTTTATGCCTCAGAAAAATCTCACCGACCTCGGCTGGGATTGAACCCAGACCCATTGGGGTGAAAAAGCAGTCACGCTTACCACTACACCACCGGCGCCGGCATACTGTATTTCAATATAGCAAGACTTGTCTGTTGCTTTTGTTTTGATTTAGATTTTTACATTTTCGCGCACTGATGTGAATGTCAAAATAATTGACGAGATAATTCTCGATCACTTTTTCGAAAGGACGTATCAGCTTTTGTAAACAATGCATTTGATCGTCGGTTTGGCTTAACTGGTAGCTCGCTCGCGCATACGTCCCTTTGAAAAAGTAATCGAGAATTGGCAATCAAATCTCGATTATCGCGCTAAGGGGTGATGGCAAGGGGAGGGGGGAGGGGGTTATGATTTTGTAAGCAATACATTAGGTAAAGGAAAAAGTTAACGTAAGGGGGGAGGGGGTTAATTTTTCCTCAATTTAGCGTGACATAACGCTTAGATTTGGGTGCATCGAGGGTTGCATAATGTGGCCCCTATTTTTTTTAGATTTTCTTTTTTTAATATCTTAATTCGATTTCTATTAACTAGAATCATAAAATTTAATAGAATAATAAAGAATATGATAATTCCAGAGTTCAAATATTAATTGAATTACTAAAATTACTGTTTTTAATCTTTAAAATTACCAAATTATTTTCCAAGCAGTAGGCATTACTGAAATTACCCATGAATTACCAACAATTATTTTTATTACATTGAAATTACAGAGTAATTCAAAATTCACTAATTATTTTAATAATTTGTGGTAATTTTGGATTACCGATCACCTTACAAGCTTGGTAGAAACCCCTCGCTGAATAATAAGATGAAACAGTCAGGGGAAAAAAACATTTTATTTTAGTGTTCTCTTTCACGGTCCCTTTCATCCAATGAATACCCCCGTATGCAAGGTGTTTTTGTAGTTATGCTGTCCCTCACTGAGGCAAATAGAATTAAGAATTTCATAAGACTCGACTTATGAACGAGACATATGAATTTCATAAGCGCGACTTATGAATTATTTTCGTTTATCATGAGGTAGCTCTTATACGCCTATAACCATATAAATTTGCAAGCGTTGGAAGACGAGTGGTCAACACACAGGTCTCGTAATCTCAACGTCCATGGTTCGGTTCCAGTCTGTCCCATTTTATTATTTTTTTGTCATCATTATTTTTCATAAGGCAAATCAGTGAAATTCATACTGATTTCTTGTGGCTAAAATTCATAAGTGGATCTTATGGAATTCTTACGTCCATTTGCCTCAGTGCTTGATAGAATTGAAACTTTGTGCTTTTTTAATCAAAACAATCACACCCAAAATCAGAGATGTCCCATTTTTTAATTACTCGATTACCAACTAATCAATTATTTTTTGTCCGCTGTGCTATAATTTTTTCACCGATAAGTGCAAGACATGTTTGAAACGATAGGTGATGATCCTCTGGAGAAGTTAATGCTTGTATCGGCATGATATATCCGATAACTAATAGTTTACTTTTCCGTTAATCGATTAATCGATTATTAAGGCCCAAACGCAATGTGGGCGGAAGCGGAACGGAAACGGAAAGTTTGACAGTTGTCACAAATGACATCAAGATGCCTAACCGAAGTTGACTTGATTATAACTAGTTTTCAATCCGACAAGTAGGCTTACTCTGATCGGGCTTTTCCGCTGCCGCTGCCGTTCCGCTTCCGCTGTCATTGCGCTTGGGCCTTTAGAATAAAAATCGGACATCACTAGATAATTGTGAAACGTCATTTCAAATATAAGGAGATATATAATGCAGCCCAGTGGCAGGCGCGTAGGCAACATGTTATACCATGACAGCGGGCCCAGCACAGCAAAATGAACGTTTTGAGCCCGGGACATGCTGCCTACTGTCAAACGCTGCTGTTGGTATAGGCCTTGCCACTGGCCTGATATAATGAGATAAATTTAAATGGACCGGGCTAATCACAAATTACGTTCCCATGGTAACTGAAATAAACACGAGTGTTGACCGAGGTGTTGACGGTTGCCTGACTGACACTGACCGGTATTTAACGCTGGTAGAAACCCCTCGGAGATATGGCTAATCGCTCTTTTTCCTGAAATTATTACATTTTAACCAATATTGCCTAGTTTTCAACGGCCGTGCACTTACTATGAGCTTTTGTTAACCCTAGTCCATTGTAATGTGTGTACTGACTAGAAAGCTCCATAGCAAAACACGCTACAAACCGTTACAAACCAGTTTGTTCGGCCAGTTTTGCGTTTTGCGCTCTCTGTTATTCCACTCAGTGAGAGTGAGGGGTGTTAAATTGGGCAAAACTCTCTCTGTTTACATCGTTCGCAAGCTTCCGTGGCGAGGCGAAAGCGATTCGCATGAACTGTCAAAACAAGTTCGGCATTCGGTGCGCGATACACGTGTTTCACTTTGTGGTTTAAATTCATTCTATTATTTTGGATTTGTTATAATATTCTACGCTATCTTCGTCAGCAATAGGTAAATTATCTAACTGTTTTATTGTGGATGAATAAAGTTTACCAATCAATCGTGGTTTCCAGCGACTAAAAATGGCCACAAGTCTCGCAGCACAGCTGCAGCGTTTGGCTGCACCACAAACATCGCTGCTGTACGACAGCCGCAAGAAGCCCTCGATTCTGTTCGATTCCAACCAAGCAGCCTCCAAGGATCGGGAAGTTATCTACGACATCGGTATCAGCGGACTGCACGAATTGATCCAGTTGAACCCGGTCTTTGCCCTGTTTGAAGATACATTGTTCGACAAAACGTCTATCGATTTGCAGCGGTCTGTTGAAAGCAAGGAACTGAACGAGAAGCTGGATGCCAACATCCGGAAGTTTTTCTTTCACCTGTCACCTTACTTCCTACTGCAGCCGGCTCACAAGTGCCTCGAGTGGTTGATCCGTCGGTTTCACATCCATGAGTTTAACCGGGAAATTTTTGTGATGTTGATTCTTCCATACCATGAAACGTTGATCTTCGTTCGTTGTGTACAAATTTTGAACATTCCCGGCAAGAACGATTCTTTGTTTTGGTTGAATGGGGTCAAGACAAGAGGAAGTGCACTGGCCAAAAAGGCGATCGTCAATCATGCGGTCGGCTATCCGGGGTTTCTGAAGGCGTATGGAGAATTTCTGGTGCAAGCGGTGAAACAATTGGACAACAAAGCCAACGCCCTACAGGCAATGATTGCATTCTACTGCACTACGACCATTGGGGTGCTGGATGCGGTGGGTAAGGTCGATGAAAACGTCGTAACTGCCATCTTGAAGACGATCGTAAGAGGATTGAGCTCGAAAGCGATTGACTTTACTGCCGCCAGCTATATGATCATCGGTCATCTGGTTACGAAGGCACAACTGGCGGAGAAAACGTTGGATCGATTTCTAAGGAAGCTGTGTGCGCTTATTCATCCTAGTTTGGCAGATAATACGGCCATGCTGATGGTGCTAATTATGGATGCGCAGAAAAATCAATTGGATGAATTCTCCGACGTGTTGGTCGCTTCGATTATGGCAGCAAAGTGGCTCCCCCTGGCACTGGCTCGGATTAAAAAGGAAGGCGTAAATATTACGCCACTTTTCCGGGCGATTTTGGAGAAATGCTTGAAGAAAATCTGCAAGCAGGACGTTGAGGTCGGAGCATACGAGAAGTTTTGTGAATGTTTGCTACTAGAGATTACGTTGGATGAACACGAATCGGAAACTATCGTACAGTAAGTATCGCGCAGTTATTGATTCACATTGATAAATGCCAACATTTGTTTCAGGGCGAAACTTCTTTTGCAAACAATTACTTTAACCGCCGAGGAAACATTCCCCTACTTGATTGTGTTATTAATTTGCATGTGTTTAAAGTAATTGTTTACAAAAGTAGCTGCAACTGTTTGAAATGTTGATGAAGAATTAATAAATTTGTGTGTCGTAGGTGCGTGTTGGATTCTTACTTCCAAAAAAGCGGTAAATCGGCGTCGTCTGCCAGCATGGACGATAAATCATCGGAAGTCATCAGCTTGGACTCGGACGACGAGGATTTCGAACGTAAAGATGAGACCGTAACTCGCTGGTATTCGGGATTCCTAAGGCACCTTGAGAATCAATACCCGAATGCATTCGACAACGTCGTAAATCGTATAATTAAAGGGCAAGGGAATTTCTCCCAGGACAAGCGGAATGCACTGAGAAATATTCTGGGATTTTTGGCTCAGGCTTCCTACAGCGAAGACGATACAAATATCTTCGAGAATCTGTTTCACTATGACGTTGACCGCAGAGCGGATGCTGTGCGGTACTTGGTGGCAAACTTTCAGGACATCAATCTGAAAGGCGATGGCAATTGCGAACTGTTGAAAGACAGCGTCAAAGAACGCCTGAATGACGACAATTGGGAAGTGGTCGCGGAAGTTCTCAAGTTGGACAACACGGATTTGATTAAGCTAATCGGCAAGGACGAATTGGTTGAAAAGCTGATCAAAATCAGTCTTAATTGCATGCGAGATCTGAAAAAGTGGGAAGCGGTCACACCGAAAGTGATCGGTCTCCTAACCGATAAGAAGCTCTACCAGGGAACGAACCTGAACAAAATCATCATCGCCTTGTATCCGTTCCTGTTTCCAACGGAGGACGACGAATTAGGTGCCCGCATCGCCCAGCAGGTTTTGGCGTCCGAATTTTCCCGGAAGCACAACATCCTCATGCTTTCCGTGAACAAAATGGAATTCGTGGACTGCGAATCGATTCTGGATACTCTGGAGGCCATGCTCGGGGAAGGACAAAACTTCCACGCCATTCAAGTTTGCTTCAACGTTCTGTTGGTGACTTCATCGCTTCCCCAGGACGCCCCAGTTGGGCTGGCCACCCGTGTGTTCGATTTTGTCATGCGACTTCTGAGTGGCCGCTTCAAGTATGCTCCTTCGTCCAGTTTGAGCTGCTTGAAGCACAATCGGCTTCCGATGGACATTCACGTGATTGCCACTGGATATCTGATCGATCGGGTGCGGTTTACGGTGGAACGACCGAACTATGCGAACCCATCGAGTTCGTTCGGTTTGCAGTTGAAGATATTCATGTTGTTGGTGGAGAAGTATTTCGATATGAAGGAGGAACATGGAGCGGTCAAGAAGGTCTACGGGAATGAGATTAGCAAGTTGTTGAAGTTACTGTATCCGCAGCCGGAGCAGAGAGTGGAGTTTTTGGCTAGCTTCTATACGGCTCATTTGGTGGAGGGCAATGGCACAGCAGTGAGTGTTCAACCGGAGGTGCAAGTTCGAACGTTCCGGCTACTGAATGCCATGTTGACACAGATAGGTGAGTAGTTTTATTTTATTTTGACGTAGGACTACGTCTGTGATTTCTATATGGGGGTACACTTTTTGAAAACCGAAAATAATACATGTAACAAAATTATGAAAGATTTTGAACGTTAATAACTCAGCTGCCCCTGGACCAATTTTAATAATTTTATCACCAATCGATCAAAAATATTCTTACGCATCTGCTAAATCTGAGACTTTATCATTTTTCAAAATGTCACTGTTGGAAATTGCACGAATGGGCAACTGTTGCTATGATAACTAAAATTATCACCGATTGCCTGCGAAAAGCGATTTCCCTAACACAGATTTCAAAGTAGAATTCCATTAGGTCTCACCACACGGTGTTTATTCAATCACCGCGTGGTGAGTGGTGTTGTTCTACAGTACACAACGAAAGGCTTCCCGCAAGCTGCGGCAAGCACCTAGCTATCAAGGCTGCCCTCAACCGCTGATCGCATTCAGTTCCAATCACCGTGTGTGGTGGTGTCCGGCCATCGGCATCAGCAGCAGTGCTTTCGGGCGTGGCGTTGAATATTGTTCTCCAGTACACAACGAGAGGCTGCTTGCAAGCAACGAGCTGCGCCCACATGAGCAGCCATAGAAGGAGGAAGTAGCCGCACCGCTATTGATGGGAATCAGTAGCTCTCTTCGTGAGTCGCTGTGGGGCATCTATGTCAAGCGCGTCATACTATAAAGTATAAACACAAGCTACTGCTGCAGTTAACAAATAAGATTTATTATATAAGACCACGTAGTCCTACGTCATTATTGTGTAGTTTTTTTTTTTATTGCGAGAGAATTTGCGTTTTGAAGGCCTAATTCATGGGACTTGCCGTGGAAACTCCCGCAAGTCCTGTGGAAATGCCATAGAATTACTCATTATTGTGTCCTGAAGTTTACTTAACGAGAATTATCTACAATCGAAAATTAAAATAATGTTGCCTACATACTAATTTAAATGTAGGTATTAACGGAACCTTACCTTCTTAAATATTTTGTCTTTTAAAAATAATTTAAGAATTTAGTTTATTGATGCACTCTAATTCATTCATTTCCATCATGTCTTTGAGTGAACCACTACGGTTGAAACTTGTTCTAGCTTCATTTATGTTCCTCCATGCATCTTTTACTTCCTTATTCCACCTGAATTTTGGCTGAAATCTACTTTTCTGCTTCGCATTCCTCAAAATTTGTTTGGTTTCTTTTCGCAGACTAGCATTTTTCCTTCACCTGAAGCAGACTTTCAAATCCCTTATCAAGAACAACATGTGAAAAGGGCATACAAGCTTTTTGTAAACAAACCTTCTTATGCCCTTTTCTTGACACCAACGCAAACCATCAACTTCACCGGGTAGGGGAAACTTTTTCCCTTTCCGATGATATTTTTGGTTTGTATGGGCGACTCTTGGTTGGTGAGGAAAGTTCCTACAAAGGTTTGTTTACAAAAAGCTCGTATGCCCTTTTCGCATGTGGCTTTTGTTATGAACTTTTTTCGATTTATAAAATAGGGAAAATGGCTCTAATGTTGGCCTATGGATCTAAGATTGGGTCCATCGCTAAAAATCTGCTATTTATCAATTTTATCTAGATGAACGCGTCGACGGTACTAATGGATATTTTTGGTTGCTGTTGAAAATTTATTCAATTGCTGAACTTATGTATGGGCCCAAATTATTTTATTTTTCATTAATTAAATTAATTAAGAGTCATTTTCCTGGCTTCTTTTTCCATAATATGCCAGAGTTCGTTTCATAATGTGTGGTGCTTCATCAGCCAAGGATTTTTCAGCAGCTGGTTTGTCTCCTCGATAAATGCGGAGTTCCAACAACCGATCTGAGAGAGAAAAACAGGTTGTTTTAGTAATTCTGAATGAATGAATAGCTTGGTTGCCGTCGTTCGTGGTCTTCCACATGGATTGTTAGAGGATCTTCCATCAAATCATGAGGTGATGGAATTTCATTCATCATCTGGTTCAGAAGCAGTATGCTACCAATCTATTTCGGATCACGGTCGGTAGACTTTTCTGATGACGAATGAGAAAAATCGGAAAATTTTATACAACCACAATTCTTTGAAGGATACGATGAACGAGGTTCCAGATCGGTATTTATTATCTTATTAATTCAAGGTAGACAAGACTGAGAATATCCTATCTTTTTTTCAGGAGCCTTCGAGTTACGATCAATCGGCAAAATTTCATGACAACATTCGTGTCAAAAACATAATGTTCATGGCACTTAATTTTTTACATAAGGCACAAGCTTACCCAAGGAGGTTTGGAAGACTATGAAAATGTTGAATGCTTTCACGATAGGCGAAACTTTTCCCGAAAGCTTTATCACTTTTACTAATGCTTTCCCAGCTCCGAAAGGATTTGTTTTTGTGTGAATTGTCATGATGGGAATGTCGTCTTCTTGTTCAATAATGACAGCACACTAACAACCTATTTTATTTCAAGATATGAAGCTACTCCACAACCTGAACCTCTATGCCCTGTGGATTGTTTGATCAATTTAAACGGACTTTTTGGTTACTTTTCCCATAGAGCAACAAATCAGATAATCTTTTTTGAAATAGTCCAAAGAAATAGCTGAATACGAGACACCGGTTATTACTGAAGAAATTCGCGATATAAGCCGTTTATGATTTAAACAATCTTTTTTTTTTTCAACAATCATTCGAAAATTTTATCATTTCTTACTATTTATACACAGATGCTTCTAATGAAACTCACTTAGAAACAGAAAATAGTGAATAAACTTATATTTTGGAATCATTAATACATATTTTATGTATTGATAGTAATTAAAACTGGCTTTGTTATAATTCTGATATGATGAGAAACTTTGCACAAACCCCTTTTCACTAATACCTATATCAAATAAATATCAACCATTGATATAATTGTGTTATAACTTTGTTATGCCCTTCTGATCGGGATTAGAGCCATTTCCCCTATTTAACTACATTTGCATAAGAATTAATCAGGGCAGGGTATTCTTCCATATTTTCCAGTAGACTGAATTGATTTTGCGTGTACATCAGATACTGTTCATGTGCTTCCATCGTCGTAAGATTCGTTTTCGCCAAAATGATTTTGAGGTAATTCTGTCGAGCACGCTCAGGGCAATCGACATTCCCCGATTTGTGACCTTCCCTAATAAAATTTGTATTGTTAAAATGCTTAACGACGTGTTCAGAGAATCATCCAAACCATCTGAGGAATAGTTATATCATTTGGGTTATCGTTCGGGTATGGTATTTATGTATTAGGGTTGCTGTCGGCATTGTACATATCTTACTTTTAGGTTGCGTTCCTCATGACTGTTTCCGCACGTTTCACAGCTTCGTTGGGACCGGCAGTTGTTTGTACGATGGTTGTACCATAGAGGTAACTCTAAAACCAGAAGGTCCTGAAGGAAAATCCACGAACCCCTTATTTTATCTGTCAATCTTTCATAGCGAATCAAAACAAACATAGTGTAGTGCTAGAATTTCAACTAGAATTGGGTAGGCTTATAGATTTATTTGAGACGAATAGGCTAGTCAAGTAGTGAGCCAATTTAAAATCGTTAGTTTCCACCGGTGGTTATACCAACAATCAATTTGAAACTTACGATTTTAAATTGGCCCACTGCTTGACTAGCCTATTGGTCCCAAGCAAACGATTAACGTATCCCATTCTAGTCGAAATTCTAGTACTACACTATGTTTGTTTTGATTTGCTATGAAAGTTTGACAGATAAAATGAAGGGTTCGTGGATTTTCCTAAGTTTCGAGGGGTGCATCGATTATCTTGGGACCGAAGATAGTACCAGAGCTGAGCCAAAAAGTTGAGCATGTTTCTTCGGGACCTTTTGGTCTTAGAGTTACCTCTATGGTTATACCTCAGATAGTTCTGACAGAAAACTGCTTTGCTGATGTAGTAGAACATACGCAATTCCGTGGGTAGATTGCTACTCCTAAAAGTGGGGAAATTCTGGTCCTATGCGTACTTGTGCAAACGAGTAACGTTCAGCACCGGCATATTGAATTTGATGTTTTCGGTCTCAATTCTTCGATGATCATTTCCAATGGTAGCCCTGTGACAACGGCAGACACTGTTAGAAGGTTTTTTTGGTATGTACGCCTTGTAGTTCTGTTCTTGTAGTGTCTTGTCTGCCTGAATATGGTTTGCAGTGTAATGTGATTTCATCGATACTAGAATTTTGTCCTAGTTCTTTGTCTTCATCAGGGCCTTTCCCAGGGCAAGCTTATTGATATGTTCATCCTTGCCTGAAGTTAACTCCGATTACTCTGTATGGTCCAGTATCGGTAGCTTCGTATTCATATGTCAACCATTGTTTTCCACTCTGTCCATCAGGTGGGTCTCTGCCACCCGGGTTACTCGAACCCGGCATTACTCCCGTTTTCTCCTTCCCTTCCCCATCAACACTCCAATTAATTCCTCTTTAAACAAACAAAAAACACACTTCTCCGGGTAATGTGCAAATAAAATAACTAGAACTAGTCGAAAAACTCGCAGTGAAAAAACACGTTTTTTTCGTTTTAAGGGCCTTAGGGACTATTTTGAACTTTTTAGGCCATTTGTGCGATTTCAAGGTCATCAGGCATTTTGGCCTTTTTTGACATTCTCACACTCTAAAAAATCTTCACGTCTGATTTAGGTGAAATATCACGTAACAGATCTGTAATTATACAACCTCATATGCTACGTGACGTTAGTAACTTTGACCTGCTTTACACGTCATGTTTACTAAAAATGTTGGTGAAATCGACCGTTTATTCACGTAAACAGTTTTAGCAAAGAAGAATACTAAGATGAAACAGTCGGAAGAAAAACTTGTTATTTTAGTGTCCTCTTTCACGGTCCCTTTCATCCAATAAATACCCCCTGTATGCAAGGTAATTTTGTAGTTTTGCTGCCCTCTCGGTAGAGATGAAATTTTGCGCTCTTTTTTTTATCAAAATAATCACACCAAAACGAGGGGG